TTTTTTTTTTTGCAGGGCTGTGATGGCTCGATCTTGCTAGACTCAACTAAAGGTAACCAGGCCGAAAAAGACGCGCCACCAAATACGAGCCTTAGAAAGAACGCATTCGCGTTAATAGACAGAATTAAGGGTAGACTTGAAAACCTATGCCCAAATGTCGTCTCGTGCGCTGATGTACTTGCGTTTGCAGCCCGGGAAGGTGTCATGTTGATATGACATTCGAAATTTGTCGGGCACTTTTGTTACTTATTATGCCCTTTGCGTATATCATGAACTAGCTAGTGTCTACTTAATTTTTGTTCCAACATGACTAGAACTAACTAGTGTTGTTAAACAAAATGAGCTTCTCGTGAGCTCAGTTCAGCTCGGCTCGGCTTGTTAAAACTCAAAAATAAGAATTTTTATATAAATTTCTGTAGTTCGGCTCGTTAATGATATAAACGAGAGTAGCTCAAGCTCGACTACTGGCTTGTTAAAGACTCGAGCTCAGCTCAGCTCGTTTACACCCCTGGCTGAAAATCGATTGGTCAGGAACAAAGGATTATTTCACTCGATCTTTCTGGTTCGGTTTAACGTGTCCGTGATTTCCTTTTCTTCCTAATCCTTTTCCTTTTTTCTTGTCGTGAATCAAAGACCGGCGGGCCTCTGTATAATGTGGTGGGAGGAAGGACAGACGGCAGAATCTCGAATGCTACGGAGGCAACGCAGAACTTGCCAAATCCTCAATCAAACTTCAAAGCCCTCATCGATGCCTTTAAAAACAAGGGCTTAACACAACAAGACATGATCGCACTTTCCGGTAAACATTATAGATGAAACTTGAAAATGACGTACTTTTTAAATCAAACGTAACTAAAAAGTAAGACATTCAGCAGTACAAGCATATATACATACGTGTGTGTGTGTGTGTGAGTGATTTTTTCTGTTCATGGTCGACCAGCCTAACGATCAGACATGAACCTATGCATATACGCAGGAGCTCACACAATCGGGCAGTCCAACTGCACCTCCTTCCTTAACCGGGTGAAAACCGACCCGAGTATGGATAAATCGTCCATAGTCCAATTGAAGAATCTTTGTAAAAAGAGCCCACAAAAACTAGTGAACATGGACAATGACACCCCAAACAAGTTTGATACCAGTTATTACAACTACGTCCTCGAACACAAAGCCCTGTTTTACTCTGACAATGCCCTGTTGAATAACGATGTTTCACGGTCGCGCGTGAAACTATATAATGGTTCGCTCGCTACATGGTTTACAGACTTCGGGGATGCTATGCAGAGAATGGGGGAGATTTTAGATAAGGATAAGACTAATCGGGGCGAGATTCGAAAAAACTGCAGAAAGATTAACTGACGGCGTTGATAAAGGCGTCGGTCGACTCAAATTGAAATCTGGTCGGAATAGAAAAAAAAACATATGTAGTTCCTTTCTTTTTCTTTATTTCTTTGTTGTCTTCGTTTCGTGTGTGTTTTTTGTCCGTCGATCGATCAAGTATTTTGAATTTGGTTTGGATGCATCAGTCCGTTACGTTGAAAAAATCGACTAATTTGAATTATCGCAAATGCTGATATGCATACTCATATAATTTGAACTATGAAATGTTGTACTTTACTGTTTCAAACACAAAATGAGTTGTAACTATCAGCAACTGTTTTTCAAATAAAGGATTTTTTTTTTTTTTTTTTTTGGTACAATTCAAATAAAGGATTTTTATTACATGATTGGTTCAAGAGCCATAGAACCATGTCAGAATTAGAATTCCTCTATCTACTCGGCTTTGAGTCCAACATATGTGGCCCAACTAAAGAAAAAGTCAACCGGTCTCAGGCCCAAATATTGTTGCTGGACATGAAAGCAAGCCCAAACCAGTTCAACAACGATTATTACAAGGCCATCATTCAGAATATTACTACACATTTGTGTTTTAATGATATACAATGAAATAATATTTTTAACTCTGATATAAGTTTAAAATATTATGAATAAGACAAGCCATATTTTCCATAAAAATGATAATTCAATTTTTAAAAGGAATAAATTTAAAATAAAAGATTTACTTTTTTTTTAATTTAAATGTTGATTTTTCAATAACGGTGTTAGACTAGGTAGTAACATGATTAAGATAGGGACAGCACTATTCATTTATAAAATCAAAGTGTTAAATAAAAGACTATGTACCAAACACGACGTCACTTGTGAGGTTTATTCCCTTCTAAATTTAAAAAATTGAATGGTAATCATGATTCCGCTAATTTTTCAAATTAGTTAACGATAAACTTTTTTTTTTTTACCAAAGTAATAGTAGCATAAATAAATATATACAATATTTAAATATAAAAACCAGATAATGAGTATATCACATTTTTAAAATTTTGACAATTAATAAGGACAATATAAATATGAACGGCATAAACTACACATGAATCACAATATTTAAGACATTAATTATAATAAATAATATAATTTTCATGATTTTGAGAAATTGTGACAAACTAATTGGCTGAGCTCGAAATCGATTAATACTGGACTGACCGTTTAGTTAAGGAGTTGAGTCAAACTCGACTAGTTAAAAACTTAAGCTCGAGTTAAGTAACATGAGCTCGAGTTAGACGACTCGACTAGTTTACAAGGCTTTTGAAATATTAATGTATACGAGTATAAGTCAATGAAAGCGTTTACCCAGCTTGATCATTTCGCATGAAAAAGGTTAATAATAACCTATATTCGAGGAGCCATCATTTACAATATCGCAATTAAGCACGCGTAATTTTGATTTGCTTTCGGCTAATTATAACTAATCGGCCATTATTTAATTCCTGACATGGTAATTTAATCAGTAACTCATTTTATCTTTTAACATATAAAAAAAATTTCAATGCCTTCAATTTAACATCGGGGTCCATAAAATTGAACTTGACAAAAAATGTCTCATTCCCATAATTTAATATATGGATGGTTTTTAGTTTATTTTCATCATTATTTTTTAGGAAAATATTACAGACTCGTTACGGAACCATTCCATCGAGATTTGTAACCGTCAGAATAGTTCCGTAACGAGATTGTAGAATCTCCTTATTTTTTAAATTGAATTACTTTTTAGTCTATATCTAGTTTATAAATTGGTATGACTTTCAAAAATTGTTAATTTAATACAAAAATTAGTGTTACCACTATTTTTGTATCTTCCTTCCATGGTGCATTTCACCAATACAAGTCAATAAAAGTGGGCTCTCTCCTTTTTGATCATATCTTACATAGGGAATAATACTCACCCACCGTGGGTATATGTCCACCGTTTATGTGGCATGCACACATTGGTGATGTATATTTTTGAACATATTAACATCACCAATGTGTGCATGCCACATAAACGATAGACATTATAACAAGTGTCCACCGTGAATATGTTGGATATTTGGTGTCAAAATTACACGGGAATCCTACGAACTGATGTGTATTTTCAGTTCTTACAAATAATCTAAAAATAGAAAATTACAATTGAACAGAAAAATAAAATACAACTGAAAAACGGAAAGATTTTAGCCGAGGCGAGTAAAAACTCTTTCCGCAAGAAGAATACGCCCCGTGTGGCAGCTAACGGTTCAGGCGTAACTTCCCCAAAGATACAACGGCAAACGTCTCTAAATCTGTAGCACACCAGATTTACGAGCTCCGGCAAACTTTAACGAAGTTGAGAATTGAGCACTAAAAGTAAAAAGATATATCATAAAACAAATAAAAATATTATTTGTTTTTTTCTTTTTAGATATTTTTATATCCGATATTTGGACATATATTTTTCTTTCTTTCCTTTCTCTTTCTTTCTTCACTCTTTCTTTCAGATATTGGTGTGCTCTTTCCTTCTGAAGGGATGTCTATTTATAGGGGAGCTCACGGAACAAGATGCCATCAACATTGCCAACTGACAATAGCTGTCACTCCATAATTGCATCAGACACATGTTACCTTAATTGGAAAGCACATGCAGCTCATTTATTCCAACATGCAAGTGCATTATTGAACACTTAAAAGATGCCAATTGAGTTTATAATAATTCATGTGGGACCAACTATTTAATTACACTCAAATTCTAACAGAATATGGGAGCATTACATAGGAACTTATCTATATGTTTGAGGGTTGCAATATATATGTATTGGCCTAATCAAATCACGAGTAATATTTGGGTTCGCTTTCACCTTAATCCACTTGTCGTTTCTTCTTGTTAGGGCTTCACTAATTTCACTTTATCTAAACAAAGTTAAAGTGGCATTTACAACCGTAAATTTGACACAATGTATAAGTTATTTTACCAACAGTGTTGGTACTACGGTAAAAATTTTATAGACAAATTTTACTCTACCGTAAAATTACACACATATTGATATTCGTGCATTGATCTAACGGTAAAAAATTACTATAACAAATTTGACTCTAAAGCTGACCACACATACATCGGTGAGCGAATGTTAATCCAACGGTGAGAATTTTCGGCGAAGGGAGTAGGATTAAAATTTTCCATTTACCTCATATTTCATCATCATTTGCCATTATATATGATTGTAAAATAAAAGCCCATTTTAGATGGACCAAATTTTTGTGTGTTTATATATATAGCTTCTTTCGTAGTTAACAAACCCATCATTAGGCAACCTAAGAGAAAAAAAAAAAATAATAATAATAATAATAATAACCACGGATTGCAGCTGGACTTATAAGGATGCATTTTCATGATTGTTTTGTGAGGGTATAAGAAATTAAATAACATTCCTTCACAAATTACTATGATTGATTGTATTATGGTGTTTCGATTTTTGAATGCAGGGCTGCGATGCTTCGGTTCTCATAGACTCGACTCCATCTATCAATGCCGAGAAATCCGCACCACCGAATAACCCGAGCCTTAGAGGTTTTGAAGTTATAGACGATGCGAAAAACAGGCTTGAATCCATGTGCAAAGGCATTGTCTCGTGTGCCGATATAATCGTGTTTGCAGCTAGAGATAGTGTCTTGTTCGTAAGGACTTCAATACCTAATCAAACAAGTCTCGTAGAAATTTTTATTTCAGCTAGTTTATCAGCTAATTTTACCAAACACTTTTATCATATAAGCTAGCTTTTCAGGTATAAGTCATAAGCTAGAAGTTATAAGCTTGATAACCTTTTATAAGTTATAAGCTAGCTTATCAACTAGTTTTACCAAACATAGTCTAACTATAAAAGTACGTTTGGTTGTAAAACTGTAATCCAAAACGCATGCAAAGCTAAATTCATCTTTCATTTGCTCGTTTCTTCTTTCTTTTTTTTCCCCACAGTCGGGAGCATTCGAGTACTATTACGAAGTGCCAGCCGGGAGGAGAGACGGTAAAGTGTCCTTAGCTTCCGAAGCGTTGACTAATTTGCCACCTCCTACATTAAATGTCAATCAACTCATTCAAGCCTTTGCAAAGAAAGGTTTTTCACAAGATGAAATGGTCACACTTTCTGGTAAAAGAAAAAAAAAAAAAAAA